GTCTTCTATCACAATCGATCACGTGGAATCTGGCGCACCCCTCATTACATGAGAGGCAGTCTGAGAGGCAGAAAGCTGGCTGTCAGTGCTACATTACCCTACGAGTCCATCAGCCCCTACGTTTTCCAAAACAGCATATTTGTTTGGGATGGGGACAGCCGCAGGAGACTCCTGCATGACCTCCCTTTCCTGTAGGTAACCCATCTAACTGACTATGCCTTTGGTTTATCTCCCTTCCTGCAACTTCCATCCATCATACCACCTAACTCCTGTGAATTCCTCATCGTCTCTAACTGCTGATCCAACCGATCCATGTGATCCAATAGGATTCGCAACCAAACACACTTCCTGTAGACATGATCATCAGTCATATAGAAACTCTCCCTAATCTCCCACATCGACAGGAAGAGCACGTCACTCTACCAAAGGCCATCTTTGCCCCTTAACAGTCTACAGATCCAGAAAATGGCACAGTCTTTCTGTTCTAAAAACAGTGCGCCAGGCTAACATAGTACCTATGTTTGTATATTTTCAAAATTTAATCAAGAGGCAGATCTCAATAAAAACATATGATTTAAAAAAAACCCACTCTACTCACTATTGTAGCGTTACAAATAAAAACCCAATAAGGTCATACTTAAAAACTAGCCACTTAGCTGCTCTCCTAACACCGGTTTCACCAATGTCAGCTGTGAATTTCACTTAATTTTTCTTGGACAAACTCTGAATGTCCAGAGATACTTGAAACCAAACAGCTGAGGCAGTTAGCTGTGCACGTTACGACTGGGTCAGACAGCTGTGCAGGTTAATTTTTCAGTTTGATTCACTTCCCATGTGGTCACTGTCTTTGTCTCTCTTCCTCCTTTTTAAAGTGCTGTTATTTTAATTATGTTAATCCAAAGTTCTGAAACAATGCAACAGCTTATAAAACAGCAATTACTGCTCCTAGAATTCAAGTAAATCGGCTCCAACACTGAAATAGCTCTAAAAAGGAACAGCTCTTACAGCTACTACTTTTTCCATCCTCCATCTCAGATTGCCCGGAATTTCTATTTATTCATTTAGCTACTAATTAATTTATCTCCTCTCATCTACTTCATTCTGACCACACTGTTGTGCTGTGCAACAATTCTTGACTGTTCAATTGGTTTTTCATTACTTCAAATAAAGAACAAATTTTGATGAGCAACATGAATGTTGAATTTGACCTTCAAGGGCTTCACAGAATTGTTACATAACAGAATGAAGCCATTGTGTCTGCACCAACTCTCACGAGCCTTATGACTTAGTTCCATTCTCCTGTTTTGCACACATCTGCAGTAGATGCTTCCTGTGCAATCAATGTCTATCACTTTGTTGCAACCACCAGTGCAGCACTACTGGCACCACAATGGTTCTGCTGTCATCTGTCTGTCAGGGTTCACACTTGCAACATAAAAGAAGTTACAGTGCTCCACAGCTCACGCACCATCCGGTTACTGAACTTTCATCGCAACTAGAGAAACATACACATCTTATAAAATCCAAAAAAACTGCAGATGCTGTAAATCAAAAACAAAAACAGAAGTGGCTGGAAAAGCTCAGTGGGTCTGGCAGCATCTGTGAAGAAGAAATCAGAGTTTTGGGTCTGGTGACCTTCCTGAGTTCTGAGGAAGAGAACTGTTTCGCAGATTGGAAACAGTAGAAACAAATATGTCTCTTTCCGAGTGGTAGGCAGTGACTATTGAGGTACCGAAGGGTTGAGTACTTCAACCCCAGCTATTCACGATATATATGCATTATTTAGATGAGGGAATGAAAAGTAACATCTCCAGGTTTGCAGATGACACAAAGCTGGGTGGAAGATTGAACTCTTGAGGAGGATGCAGAGAAACTTCAGTGTGACAAGTTGCATGAGTGGTCAAATGCAAGGGAGATGAAGTATAATTTTGATAAATGTGAAGTTATCCACTTTGGTAGCAAAGCAAGAAAGCAGATTGTCTGAATGATGATAGATTGTGAAAGGGGGAAGTGGATTGAGACATGGGTGTTCCTAGTCCACCAGTTTCTGAAATTAAGCATGCTGGTGCAGCAGGCGATGAAGAAAGGTGGCAAATGGTATGTTGGCCTTCATAGCACGAGGATTCAAGTACAGGAGCAGGGACATCTTGCTGCAATTGTACAGGGCCTTGGTGACACCACACCTAGCATATTCTGTACAGTTTTAGTTTCCTTACCTGAGGAAGGATGTTCAGCTCAGGAGGACGTGCAACAAAAATAAAAACTGTTTCCTGGGATGGCAGGATTAATTTCTGAAGAGAGACTGGATTGGTTAGGACTATTTTCACTGGAATTTAGAAGAATGACGGAGGCAAATCTCACAGACTGTGTAAAATTCTAACAACTTGTCAAGGTAAATGCAGAAGGACTATTACGAATGACTAGGAGCTCAAAAACTGGGGTTACAGTCTAAAGTGAGGTAAAGGACTGAGGTGAAGAGAAATTTCTTTATTCAGAGAGTGGTGAGCCTGTAGAATTTTCTGCCACAAAAAGCAGTTGAAGCCAAAACATTGAACATTTTCAAGAAGGAGCTTGATATAGTTCTTGGGTTAAAGGGATCGAAGGGTATTGGGAGATAGCAGCAACAGGGTATTGAGTTAGATGATCAGCCATGAACACATTTAATGGCAGAGCAGGTACGAAGGGCTGCATAGTTTCCTCCTAGTTTCTATTTTTCTATTCCATTAATCTTCCAGTGCCTCAGTTGAGTCTGCGTCTGGCACACTGGCAGGCAGTGCATTCCAGACCTAAACCAATATTTGTGCAAATATTTTTTCTCACATCATTTTTGTTGCTTTTACAAATCACATAAAATCTCTGCCGTCTTGTTCTCAATACTTTCATAAATTGGAATAGTTTCTCCCTATCAATTTTATCCAGACCTCTCATGATTTTTAAGGCTGCTACCTGATCTCCTCTTTGCCACCTTATCTTGTAAGGAAACAGTCCCAACCTATCCAATCCATTCTCACAATTGAAGTTTCTCATCTCTGGAGCTATCAATATATATTGTGACCAGTTGTGAACCCAGCACTGATCCCTTTGGAACCCCACTACTGACAAGTCACCAACCTGAGAAAGAACCCCAATCCCCACTTACTGTTCCTGCCTATAACTCAATTTTCTTTCGATGTAAATATACCATCTGTACTACCTCCAACACCATGGTCTGTTATGACTTAGCCTTTTATGAGTTACGTTATTGAGTACCTTCTGGAAGTCCAAATACGACAAACCTCCTGCTCCCCTCTGTCCACTCTGGCTGAGATTTCTCAAAAACTCAAATAACTTAGACACAATTTCCCTTTCGTAGAGCCATGCTGACTTTGCTTGATAAGATTGATTCTATTTTCCAACAATAGATGTGGAGGTGCTGGTGTGTGACTGGGGTGGACAAGGTCAGAAATCTCTCACTAGCTACTACTTTTAGGGTGCAAGCATCAGAGCCAGGGGACTTGTCTAATTTTCACCCCTTTAATTTATCTAATGCTACTTCTGTAGTGATGGTGATGGTACTGAATTTCACTCCTACGTTCTACAGTATTATTGGGGTAAACAGAACAGTAAAGCGCAGGAACTGACCCTTTGACCCACCATATCTGTGCCAACCATAATGTCATTCTAAATTAATTCCATCTGCCTGCACATTATCCAAATCCTCTATTCCCACCTATTCGTGTGTCTGTCCACATGCTTCTTAAATTTTGGTGCTGTATTTGCTTCTACCACCTCCCCTGGCAGCACATTCCAGGCACCTACTATTCTCTGTGTAAAAATAAATTAACTGCTGACATCTCGTTTAAACTTTCTCCCCCTCTCGCCCTTAAACCTATGGCCCTACTATTTGACATTTCCACTTTGGGAAAGAGACCCTTTCTACCCTATCAGTGCCCCTCATAATTTTATGTATTTCTATCAGGTTGCCCCTCAGTTTCTGACACTCTAGCAAAAACAATCCAAGTTTGTCTCCTGAGAGCTAATACACTCCAATCCAGGCAACATCCTGGTAAACCTGTTCCGCACCCTGTCCAAAGCCTCCGTATCTTTCCTATAGTGCGGCGACCGGAACTGCACTGTAATCCAAAAATGGCCAGACCAAAGTCTTATACAGCTGCCCTCCTCTGCCATTTATTTGTTTTCTGTAACTATTTCACCAGATTCATTTTCTAAAGGACCTATGTTCACATTGACCTCTCATTCTTTTTATATATTTAAAGAAGCTCTTATTGTTAGTTTTTAATATTCCTCATTAGTTTGCCCATGGTTTATTTTCTCTCTGTTTATTATCTTTTTAGTCTTCCTTTGCTGGCTTCTGAATTTATGCCAGTCTTCAGGGTTGTCACTGACTTTGGCCTCCTTATCAGGGTTTGAATCTCATGACAGCAAATAGTGAAATCTGCATTGAATAAAATCTGGCGTTAAAAATTTGTCTAGTGACAACGTTGGAAAAATGCACCTGATTCGTTAATATCGTTTAGGAAATCTGCCATTCTCAGCAGATCTCGTTTATGTGTGAATTGACCTATAGCAACATAATTAACTTTTAACTGCCCTCTGAAATCGCCTTGAGAGCTAATCAGCTCAAGGGCAACTAGGGATGGGCAGCAAATGCCAGCCTTGCCAGCGACACCCACATTGCATCCAAGAATAAAGAAATGAAAGGAGTACAGCAACTATCCACTTCACAAATGGTGGTGTGCTGTCACACATTTCTTCTTGAAAATCATTTTTTATTGCATAAAGCAATGTTGTAGTGCCCAAAGTACCTGTCTCATTTAAAAACACATGCATTCCATAATTCTGTATAGCATCAAAGCCTGCTTGCCATTTGCATTCTGATTACTGTTTTGATCATTTGCTTCAGTTTTGACAGCAAGTTTTCACATGCCTAGTAATTCATAGTTGCTATGGTGTGCATTTATGTCAGAGCACCATCTTATATCTTTTATTTTCTCCCTGAGGATTCAAGAAACGGAACAAGCAAACCTGAGCCTGATATTGTCTTCTGTAGCAATAATTGCTTTGTACAGTACGCTATGGCCACACAAGCAAAAACTCCAGAGTCAAAGGTAATATTCTTGATAGGTGGTTGTTATAATGATAGCAATTTTAAAATTAAACCTGCATAAGTGCACGTGTGTTTGCTTGGAAACCTGAATCTCAAATTGGAGTTCTACCTAAACTATATTAAAGTCACATTCCAGAAATAAATGCTAAGACTGTATGATGGTACATTTTAAGGGGGTCAGGAAGAAAAAAATCAGTGACAGTTATTGGGTTAAAAACCTACATAAGAGGATTTGATCATGCAAACGTGCATAATTGTTTGTTCTATTTTATGGACATAGTGAAGAGTGCACGTTGCTTTGCTGCACAGTAGATTCCACAGGCAGTTAATGTAATGGTTGATTAATTTACCCTTTTTACCAAAATTACTGATATTTTAAAGAGCATTCCCCTGATATCCTTAGCTTTTTTTTTTAAATAATGGTCTAGGAGAGCAGATGTACAGGATGCAAATATGGAACTTTTTAAGCAAAGTTGAATTAGAGAAGAATTGGTTCTGGAAACTAAATCGTAAAATTAAGAGTGAATGCGTCATTGGGCTGTGGTGAAATTACCTCAAGCCCTCAAAGGATTTCAGAGGGGAAAAGGCTGTGGGCACAGTTATTCTCATTGTATAAGTTATGTTAGGGCAGTAACGTAAACTCTTAACACCTCTGATCAAAAACGATAAACAAGAAATATTTATTGAATGTCAATTGTGGGCAAGTTCTTAAAATGCATAATTTGAGGATACAATTGGTTGAGAAATGCATTGAGGCAATCCAGGTTAGCTAGCAAAAAGGTATGTTTGGCATTTCATATTTTTAATCCATTTATGTGGAGGATAGCAGGCTTATAAACTGTTGGGATTAACTACTGTACACAGCTTACATATCTCATTGACATTATTATCTTCACATTAAAAAAAAGTTTTGTCATCTTTTGTAGTTGCATCCTAACACAAGACCGCAACAATGACAGTTGCATAACAGTTAAGTAGCACAATTAACAGCATGACACCAGACATTAAGATAATTTCAGACACTATTGGCATGGGGTGTCGTGCAGGCTTATTTCCTTATGTCATATTTCCATATGGAATTTGTGTCAAAAAGCTCTCCGTTTCTTACAATATATTTTGTCAGGAAGCCTTCTGGCGCTGCATTACCCCAGAATGATTCGTGTCAGTTTCATAATTCCTGTTTATGGCCATTTACCCAAAGTGATTCATGAGTATTAAAATACCAGACATAATGTGTATGTGCCAACAGAAAGGGGTAGAAATGCATGAGAGTTGGGTGAATGGAACATTTTTGCAGTAAGGTGTGCAGTAGTACTAAGATGAAAATGAAGCCCACTCTAATAAGTTTGTCACTTTCTCTTCATGGATAAGAATTTTCTAGATTTGTTTTTAAAATGATTTGTACGTAACCTTTTTTAAGATATGCCCAGATGTTGCAACTTGCATTTGGAAATTTTGATCGCATTCAGTAAACTTAAAAATACATTTTCACAGGGCAGGGTTAAATAGAGTTTTAAATCTAACATTTCACATGGTAGATCATGCCCATTTAATGGATCATTAATTATTGTCCTTTCTCTAACCAGGTTGAGATCATTTTATTTTTAAAATTCACTTCTTTTGTTTTAAAGCAACAGGAACTTACATCTGCAATGGTAGAGCAGCCAGCCAAAGATGTGACACGAAACACATTCCATCACTATAACAACAACACCTCCTCCTTAGATGTCCATCGACTTCCGCGGATTCAGGAAAACGCAGTGTCTCCAACTACAACTGCTTATTTCCCTCCTGCCAGGCTGCAGGTTTTCAAACAAGAGTCAAAGGCTGAAGATCTCAAGGTGACTGTGAAGCTAAAGCCTAGATCAAGGTCCACACCGGAGGATCCAGATGACAATTGTCCAGCAGTTAAAAGATGGAAAGGGATGAAGTGGAAAAAGTGGAGAGTTCAAATAGTCCTTCCTAAAGCACACTTGAAGTTAGCATCAGAGGAAGAGATAGATGAACTCCTGAAGAAACTTGGTACATCCCTAAAGCCTGAACCCATGCCACGCGACTATAGAAGATGTTGTTTATGTCATGAAGAAGGTGATGGAACAACCAATGGGGCTGCAAGGCTCCTGAATCTTGATCTTGATCTCTGGGTCCACTTGAACTGTGCTCTTTGGTCCACAGAAGTATATGAGACCCAAGCTGGCGCATTGATTAATGTGGAGATGGCTTTAAGACGTGGTCTTTCTATGAAGTGTGTTTTCTGTCATAAAATGGGAGCTACTGGTACATGTCACCGGATAAGATGCACCAATATTTATCACTTTACCTGTGCCAGTAAAGCCCAGTGCATGTTTTTTAAGGACAAGACAATGCTCTGCTCAATACATAAACCAAAGGGACCCCATGAGCAAGAGCTGACATACTTCGCTGTCTTTAGGAGGGTCTATGTGCAACGGGATGAGGTCAAACAAGTTGCCAGCATTGTACAACGAGGAGAACGCAACCACACATTTCGTGTTGGTGGCTTAATTTTCCATGCCATCGGGCAACTTCTCCCACAGCAGATGCAGTCTTTTCACAGCTCTATAGCACTCTACCCAGTTGGATATGAAGCAAGCCGTTTTTACTGGAGTACACGTTACTCCAACAAACGCAGCCGATACCTCTGCTCTATTGAAGAGAAGGATAATGTCCCAGAGTTTGTGGTCAGGGTTATTGAACAAGGTCATGAAGATCTGGTCTTAACAGGAAGTTCTCCAAAAGGTAAGGAAGAGTATTTTGTTTTCCCCAAACTACAGTTTTATACATAATGCCATTTTAAATAATTAACCACTTGGAGATTTTTTTATAAATTTGTGAAAAAAGTAAGTCTAGTTTTCAATATAAGTCAAAACATGTTTCACTTCACCCAAAATATTAATATGCAACAGCATTTGCATTCCTCTAAAAATGAATCACAGTTTGTGCATTTTTGATTTTGGAGCACCATCTCAACATATTTCATTATTTTAATTGATGCACGCATGGACCTTGTGCCCTGTGGTAATGGAAATGGTTTGCGTTAATTATCTGTGTATTACTCTGAAGTTGCTTCATTTAAGAAGAACTCAGTTTTTCAGTACGTACAAGTTACTAAAAATAAAGATATAATCAACGTATAAAATAATAATAGACATTAATAAAATATTCCTAGCCAAGGACGACTATATTCTGTGAAAATGGACTTCTGACAAACTATAGATATCAGTTCTTGACTGACTTGACCATTGCACAGGAACTGATCATTTTAATTTAAACATTTACATGTTAATTGGTTTAATATTGAATTCAGTTTATGCCATGAATGTGATCTGGATGAAGCGTTTGGAAAAGGAATTCATGATTTAAACATAAAAAGAGATATAGGTGTGTCACCTCAGGGCTGAAGAGAGTGAAGAAATATCGATTCCAAGAATGAATCCAAATGATTCTGCAGGCTTGCTTTAAAGTTATAAAGGGTACTAATAAGCCAACACAAGAATATCAAATTTCAAATAATTATAACAATGTCCTTAATAAATAGTTATGATCACTTGAAATTTGGTATTCTTGTTTTAGTCCTGAAGTGAGACTCACACAGCTTTGGCAGAATGTCTCCCTTTCCAGCAAAATGAAGATACTAGGAAAAATAAAGATAATTTTTAAAAATTAGAAAATTTACAACATTAGAATACCAATTTTTAACTTACTTACTGGAAATTACTTGTTCTCTCTTTCAGGGGTGTGGCAAAAGCTCCTGGAACCCATCGCTCGCCTTAGAAAAGATGCTGACATGCTGAAACTCTTTCCAGACTACCTGAAGGGTGATGACCTGTTTGGCTTGACTGTTTCTGCAGTCACAAGGATAGCGGAATCGGTATGTGGTTTTTAAAATGAAGTACACCTGTTAAAGGGAATAAAAGCTTTGGTGCATGCCCCTTCCTCTATAGTAGAAGATTTAATTTATTCTTCAATTAGATTCTTTCTCTTAGAAGAAAATATGAAGTGAGGGGAAAAAAATGCAACTTGTGGCAAAAGATCTGTTTTTTTTTTATCCTGCAATTATGATCCTTAAACACACTGTGTAGCTGGTACTGCATATATTATTGAGGAAGTTCTGCATCATGGGGTTGTGCCTTTTGTCGGGTGAGATGTTAATGCGAAATCCTATCCGCTTGTCCTCATGGTACTGTTTGAAGAGGAACTTGAATTTCACCCAATGTTCTAGCCAACATTTTACTTTCAACTATTTAAGAGGTTCCGAGACCAGGCAATACATTTGGAGTGAAGAGTAACTTAGTACAGAGCAATCGAGGCAATGTATTAAGCAACAAAAGTTATGCTTAGCAAGCAAAGGCAGTTGATATCCTAGTTCAAGTAGTTATTGCTTCCCACCATGTTACTGGTATGGATGGCCTGTGACACCTTTCTTTTCCTCTGTGTTTTCTTGAAATCCATGCAACAAATGTCTTCAAGTGAGTTCTCTATTTTCAATAGCCTTGTGCTTGATGTGCTCTGATTTTGCCATCATGCTTTGATCTTATTTGCCAGTGCTCAACTTGTGATCAAAACCTGAGCGGGATATTCCAAACACCCAAACAGTTAACATTTTCCTGTATGACCTTTTGCTAAATTTGATAATACATGTCCTCAGTTGGTTAAAACTCCTCAGTTCATTGACATATGCATTCAAAACGCATCCTATGATCACAACTGGCAATGTGGTTTGGACATCAGTCTCTACTTCACTTTTGCTATTCCTACTATCTGTTCACACCATTATTCCTTGTTTTGAATCAGGTCTTACAGGCAAAACTTTGGCTGTGGTAATGCAGCAACTCCGGTTAGTGCTCGGGGTACAAAAACAGAAATTACTGGAGAAGCTGAGCCAGTCTGGCAGCATCTGTGGAGAGAAAGCATGGTCAAAGTTTTAGGTCCAGTGATCCTTCTTCAGAAGTTCTGAGAAGGAGATAAAAGATTGAAATCTCTTGCACTTAAGGTCATATGGCATAGTTGAAAAATCACACAGTGGGTAACCAGATCGAAGTGAATGTATGTCCACTGTTCTGCATTTATAAGGATATAAGTTCTGCCATGAAATGAGGAGGGTCTGGACTGAACTGATGGGGAGAAACTTCCCATTGGTGAAAGGATAAAGAACCAGAGGGCATCGATTTCATGTTTGATTAAGTCCTAGATGCACTGCCTGAAGTTGTAATGGGGGCAGATTTAGTTGTGGCTTTCAAAATGGAAATGGATAATTATCTAAAGAGAAATACGCAAGCAAGGTTTGGGGAATTGGCTGAATTACTTTTGCAGGGAGCTGGCATGGACATGATGGACTGAATAGCCTCCTGTGTTACAAACATTCAGTGTATCTGCAACTTAATTGGGAGTTGTTACATTTATGCAACCTGGTGTTGATTTTGAATTTTTCATTGCAGCTACCTGGAGTAGAGAACTGTGAAAACTACACTTTCCGATACGGTCGCAATCCATTGATGGAACTTCCACTTGCAATAAATCCTTCAGGCAGTGCTCGGTCTGAACCCAAAATGAGTACCCATGTCAAGAGGTTTGTGTTAAGGTATTTTCGTTTTCGACTTCACATAGTTGTAGGGTTGCAGGTCGCATTGCTTGCTCGCTGTCCAGTGTCTTGCCTACTGTTTACTAAGTGGTGCAACAGCAAAATACAAATTAATAATTTATCAGTACTGAAAATTGTTATTGTCAAATATTTAATAGTTTTTCTCAGTTTCTATGTTCCTTGTTAATATGTTAAAGCTCAGAGCCATAAGTAATGACTTTCCAATTTTAAATCACGTGAAAGCAGAAACAGAGCTTTTTTTTTTAGCTCATTGAACCTTTGTGACTACTAGTTTCACACTGGAGTATATTTCTTGCCCAATTTACCAAATAATTCTCTTTTTTGTGTTTACCTAAATTCTGCTTTAACAGCTGTGAATCAGTTTTAAAGAAGGAGAGGGAGAAATTTGAGGACACAAAGAAAATACAGCAATTTGATTGCCAGAGCTGAAAATATTGGCTCATTATTGTAAATAGACATTTCTCTCCTTCAACAAATAAATGTGAAATTAACAACTTTAAATCATTCTTACCAAAATGAATATTTGCTCCTGGATTGTTGCACCCTTTACAGCTTACCATAGTTGTGTATGTGTCCTTGCTGGTTGAGTTGCTCAGCTTTGCCCATTGCATGTACTGTGTTTCCCTTCCCATCTGCTTCCCAAGAAAGAAAAAAATTTCTGTTTGTTTTTATTATTCCTATTGACCAAAAGGAACTTCAGAATTTTTTTTCCTTCCCCTTTTTTCTCATCTCTACTTCGTGCCGAATCCTGCTAGGCCGCACACTCTGAACAGTACTAGTACATCCAAGTCTTTTCAGAGCACCGTCACAGGAGAGCTGAATGCACCTTATAGCAAGCAATTTGTCCATTCCAAATCCTCTCAGTATCGCAAAATGAAGACCGAATGGAAGATTAATGTGTACCTGGCTCGTTCTCGAATCCAGGTCAGTGTTCATTAATGAAAAGTGAGAGTTTTTCTTTCTTCGTGAATAAAGTAAAAACATGCTGTAATTATTGAAATCCCAGTGATATGTTGCTTTGGAATGACAATGCCTCGTAGGAAAAAATGATGAGATGAGAGGGTTCTCTCCTCTTCATTGGAGAATTGTTTAGGGAATTTATCTTCGAAGAGAAAAATCTCCATATTACTAGTTATCATGGCAACATGACTTCTGAAATTATTGTTCATTATTTCCTTTAAAAATGTTTTTAAAATTATGCTTATATTGGAAAAGATCATAAGACTAAGTAAGTCCACGCTAGTCTTTGCAGTGGATTGCACTCGTATTGTATTGGCTGCCTATGTTAGATCCCATCCAGTATTACTTTTCTGTTAATTCAATGCGTGCTTGAAAAGAGAAATGTGTTGCTGAAGGTTTTGTCTTGCACTTATCAGGACAAGTAGAAGAATGCCAAATTGTTGTATAAATTATGATTATTTAAAGAGTCCTTATTTTTTTGGCAGATGGACCCCAATTGGCCAAAGTAGTGATCAGAGTTGAGGAGGATCGTGTACTGATTGGCTAGAGTTGAACTGTCCAGCAATCTGGTTAATGTCTCCATTATTCAGAGTCAACTTGCCAATCTGTCAGCTCAGTCTTGTATGCATTATTACAGTCATTTGAAGTTTAGCTGCCTTGCACTTGTCCTGATGCGTGCAAGACGAAAAGCGTCAACACCGTGTCACTTTTCTTAGCAATGTTCAGTGCATGTGTGAATACTTCAAAACTGAGTCACAAAAATACAGGGTTACTTTTCTATACATTTGAGTTCATTGACTGTTTATTCAAGCGGATATTATTTGTACTTGACATTACAGTAGTGATTTATCCTCACATTACATATGAATTAACTGATCTGCGAGAATGGTAAACTGCAAGAAATTTTATTTCAGGGTCTTGGTTTGTATGCTGCCCGAGACATTGAGAAGCATACTATGGTCATTGAGTACATTGGAACAATCATCCGTAATGAAGTGGCTAACAGGCGGGAGAAACTTTACGAAGCACAGGTAAACTGTCCTTTTGTTGCTTTAGGTGTAGTTATGCAGCTCACATCTCATCAGGTGAGTATGAATGGGAAATAGTCAGATTAATGCCTATTCAATATTAAAATCTAACAGAGGATGGTATTTTCTGATGACAGTGGGTTAATTGAGTTGTTCATGTTCGTTCCTCTACCTTGACAAGAATATATTTTGACCCTACATGTGGAATTGTAGTTTCACATCCCAATCTCCATTTTAAATGGCTATGGTCTTTACAATCGGAGGAAACCTTTTATAAGTTGGAATCTGAATCCTCCATTCCACCATTTGGGCTACTACCCCACCACGAGTTACTGTTTACGATAAGTTTGACAACTTAATTTTTTTGAACACGTGCAAAATGATGTGCAAGTTACCTGTTTTCAGGTTTTAAATATTAAGGAAAAAATTGTATGTAGTTTGTTTGTATTCATTCATGAGACTAGGGCATCGCTGGCTAGGCCAACATGTATTGCTGAGAGGGCAGATAAGAGTCGGCCACCTTGCTGTGGATCTGGAGTCACATGTAGGCCAGTCCGGGTAAAGATGGCAGTTTCCTTCGTTAAAGGACATTAGTGAACCAGATAGGTTTTTCTGAACAATCAGCAGTGGATTCGTGGTCATCATTAAGACTCTTATTTCCAGGTTTTTATTGAATTCAACTTCCACCATCCTCTGTGGCAGGATTCAAACCCAGTTCCCCAGAACATTACCTGGGTCTCTGGATTAACAGTCCAGTGACAATACCACTAGCCTGTCACCTCCCATAGTGTCTTTAATGACCTCAGGACATGCCAAAGCACTTTATACCCAATTAAGTACTTTTTAAAGTGTAGTCACGGTTGTAACTTGGAAAGTGGGGGAAGAAACTCTTGATATGTAATTATCTATGGGTGGCCTTGACGATAATGAGCAGCACTGACAAAAATTCCTTTATTTAAAGGGATGCAAGCCTTCAGAACGCTTTATATCGTGTTTTTGGACACTGTCACTAAGTCTTTTGACATCAAAGATCAATGAATCTTTAGGTATGAAAGGAATGAAGGGATAAGGAATAGTGTGGAAATGTACAGCTGAGGGAGATGACTTTGTTGAAAGGTAGATTATATTCATTTGGCCAAATAGCATATTCTAGCTCCCATTTGTCATAACCTTAAATATTTCAGTGACATTTCTGTCCTCTTTCGTTATGTAATTTTCATCCCAAAGAGCAACCACCTCTCACTGGAAGTCTCTAAATAAGATAGGAAATGATGGCATTACTCAGCTGACAATTTATCAGTTATGGGGTGGAATAGGCGAGTTTCATAAGTCTCAGTTTTTAGCATTTTCAGTGCATCTTTCTGCTTACAAGGGTTTCTGAAAACCGAAATAAGTTGCTGTTGTGGACACATGTTCATTTCTGCTGAATGTGAAGAGAAGCAGACTGAGTGAAGAAGGGGGATAATGCATAAAGCTACCTCCTCCCTCTGTTCAATTGAAATGATGCTGGATTACTCCCTATAGTTCTAATCTTGGTTTATGTTTTATGACAATCTGGAAGCTTTGGAAACATTTCCATAAAGGAATGTTTGGGATTTTTTTTTCATCAACTTGATCAAAGATGTTATCACACACCCGTGGAGCAGGTAGAGATAACACAGTGTGGAGCTGGAGGAACGCAGCAGGCCAGGCAGCATCAGCGGAGCAGGAAAGCTGACGTTTCGGGTCTGGACCCTTCTTCAGAAAAAGGGTCC